ATATATATATAATGCTAAGAAATGTGCCCAAACCACTCAGTTAATGGAGGAGACTAAGATTGTAAATTTAAGTTCCTCTCAGTAAAAACCCATACTACTTTTTTTTTTTACAAATTCATACTACGTGTCAAACACACACCAGCACCTGAAGCACTGTAAATTCTCAAGCACTGTTATTTTTATCTTCTTTTTTCTTACTTCCATTACATCCGCACTCCTTCCCCAAGTTATTCTTTTCTAAAGCTGAAACTTGAAAATCCTGAAAGAACACAAATACATCACCAGCAGCTAGTCATTTTAAAAGCACTCCCACCTGTCATATGTCATGTTTCTTCTTCACAACAATCCTGCAAGATCAACAGAGCAGGCACCTTCTCACCTAAGGAGAGACAGAGAAAGATTTCAGTGTTTTGCCAGCGTACCAACCAAGTAGAATTTTAGTTGAAGCTCAGAGTAGTCCTGGCCTCACTTAAAGACCACTTTATGTTTGGGAACCTATATCTTAGAATTTCCCTGCTTTGAAAAGATTTATTTTTATTTATTTATGCATACAAGAACTAGGTGTTGGGGGCGGGGGGGATTCACCAGAGAAAGAGCGGGGAGCAGAACAGGAGGAGAGGTCTTTGGTGATATGTGTGGTCACCTCCCTGGCCAGAGATTGAACCCAAGCCGCAGTGGCTGCTGGTAGCTTGAGGCTTTAATCCCTGAGCCACCAGGGAGGCCCTGATTTTTCTCACTTGTGCTGAATTATCCACCTAGCCATTGGTACATGAAGAAATCTCACCGTACATGAGAGATTTGCCTCCAAGTTGCATCATCTCCATTGGGATTACTTGATGTGTGCAGCTTGTCTCACTTATTTGCAGTGATCTCAAGCAAATGATTTCACAGTAGATGCAGATAGTCATAATGTCTCCCTCATAGGTGCCACAGGATTAAAATAGTTCAGGATAAGCTGTGAACATGGCATCTATGCAAAAGAATGTTTGATCATTGATGGCCAGGAAAATCATTAGGTAGAAGTAGGTAAATAGGCGGCAGCACTGTTTTTCTGGAAAAGAAGATTTTATGGACTACCTTACTAAGACGTAGACAGGAAGGATTTGTTCCCTGGCAGTTTGGGGAGAGGAGTAAGCCAATCATCAGTTCTAATAATGTGTATCTATTTTATGTTGTTCACTGTTTCAAAAATGCACACCATATTCTTAATGGGGTGTTATTTGTGTGTAGGTGCGGGGTATGGTTTTGGCTTTGTCTGTTTCTCATTTGGCTTGGTCTTTTAAACCTCCAGTATAAACTACATATTTATGTTTGCTGGTAGCTTCATCTGAACTATTTATATGTGGTAAATGAACTGTATTTCTCTATCAGTTCCTTTTATTCAGTAAATGTAGGATGAGGTGATCAATTATAAGAATGAAATCATTTAAAAACCTTTTAGAAAACAGTACAGATTGTTTAGTTGCATTATGGTGATCTGGTTTTAAGAATTAGAATCAGGCACAAAAATGTGTTAGTTGATTAGCTGGTAAGTTTTAAAATATGAGACAGGATTTTTTTTTTTATATCCTTACTTTATCTACCAGATTTCTTTTTTTAACTTTCTGCAAATTACCATGGCTTGTTTTAGATTAGTTATATTATACTCTAAATATGTCCAGATGTTTTTGTTCTGTAATTTGTTGAGTTTTGGCTGAAGACTTTCTTAGATTTTTTTTTTCTCCCTTGTAGTGATTGATTTCAAAGTTAATGCTAATGTTTTGAATTGTTGTTGTTTTTTTTAGTTGATTAGAAAAGAACCAACAATAAATCTCTTAGCTGTAGAGATACAGCAGCTCTTACAGACAGAGGCACAATTATTTAATTTAATTTGTATTCATTTCAGTAAGATAATAGCTAGAACATTGTAGACCATCACTAGCAAAATATAAATAAATTCATTAAGTAAATTATTTAAATCAATTAAAGAGGTATAACAGTTACATCTCAGTAAACATTTGATTTTACTGCTTAATCCAATAATGCCAATGAATACCTGCTCCATGTCAGGGCCCAGCAACATTCAGACTGCTCTGGGGAGATAGATCATTCTAGAGGGGAAAGGAGAGCAAAACATGTTTCCTTACCATTAATATGTAACAGATTTTCCCTTTTGTAACTTCTGTTTTTCAGTGATCTATCTTACAACCTGCTAGAAGATTTACCCAGTTTTTCAGTCTGCCAGAAGCTTCAGAAAATGTACGTCTCTACGTGTCATAAGTCACCTATCAGAAAACAAGAGCCAAAACTCACATTTCCGGGGCCATTGCTTATCTTATGGGTCACTGAGGAGACACTTGATGCTTTCCTTTGTTATATACACAGGTGTGATTATATAGGAGGGCTATAAAATTAGGAAACAGATGATAATATTTTACCATACATTGTAAAGTAGTACACATGTAAAGCATTTTTTACATATTTGGGTTTTTTTTTCTCCTAACTTAGTAAATAAGAACTGGGGTTTTTTTGAACTTCAGAAATTTTATAAACTTACCTATACGATAAGTGGTGTTATTATTGATAACACTTGGGGTATGTCTCTCATTAGTCATCTATAGAGGAGGTGCCATATTTGTCATATTTGAGGTGGATTGGGCACGACTTACACATGAAACACTTTAGACTTCCTCTCCTAAAACTCCTCTACAAAATATTGGCCTTATTCCTTTATAGTCAAATTGATCATAACAATATTAACCAGTTAATTTTTCTCTGAATGCCTCAGAAATTAAAGGACAAAAAAAAAATCCATCTGTAAAAGGCAAAGATTTGATCCTCCCAAAGACCCTCAAAGAAAACAAGAAGCTCGAATGCAAGGCCAGAAGCAGTGTCCTGAACATGTTTTCATGACAATGGCATTTAGAAAGAGTTTTATATCCACCCAGGGGAATGAACTGCTTTGAAAGAGATGTGTATACATTTTAATGCTCTTTTTAAAACAAAGCAAACTTCTTTTAAATGGTCACTTGATAGTCACAATTCATGGATTCCTTTGATGGAGGGCAGCTAATCCCTCAGTAAAAGTGCTCTGAAAACTACTCTTTGAAACCAGTAACTTTGAAATCAATCTTGAAACTCTGTCATTTCAGAGACCTCCGCCATAACGCAATCTATGAAATTAAAGTTGACACTTTCCAGCAGTTGCTCAGCCTCCGGTCTCTGTGAGTACCACCTCCCACCTCCCACACCTTCTCAACACAGACCACTTTCTTTGTCTTTCAGGTCTTCCCTAAGATAGTTTGAGGGCCCTCCCTGGTGGCGCAACAGGTTAGGACACAGCACTGCAAGCTGGCCACAGCTGCTTCAGTGAGAGTTCGATTCCCTGCCCTGGAGGTGACCCACCTGGCGTGGCAGATCTCTCCTGACCTGCCCGCTGCTCCCCTCAGCAGTCTCCCCTCAGACAGACTTCGTCAGTCTGCCTGTTCTGCTCCCCACTCTGTCTCTGGTGAATCATGTCACCGCCCCTGCACCTCTGGCCTGTACCCCAGTTCTTTATGCATAAATAAATAAGTCTTTAAGAAAAAAATTTTCTAAAAAAAAACTTTCTTTTCAAGATATACTTTCATTGTTGTTCCTTCCTGTCTATATTTGCTATGGAAAGGTAAATATTTTGCTTGTGATCATTTTAGGAATAAAATCAAAAGAGGTAAATTGGTAATCTGCCCTCTGCCAATCAGCACATGTGAACGTTTAATAAAAAGGAGGCAGGTCAGGCCCTCCCTGGTGGCGCAGCGGGTTAAAGCACTGCACTGGGAAGCCGAGGCCATTTTCTCATGAGTTCGATTCCCGCCTGCCCCGGAGGTGACCACATGGCGTGGCAGACCTCTCCTGACCCGCCCGCTGCTCCCCTCAGCAGTGTACT